CGGCCGCGAACCTTCACGTGTTGCGGCAACACGTCTTCAAGATGTCCGACTATTGGCAACAACCGCAACGGGGCCCGCCTCAGCATTCGCCGGGGATACAACATAGCCCTATCTCCAATTCGACTCAGCAGCAACAACACCAGCAGCAAGTGCAACAGATGCACAGTCCTCTCGGCCAACAGCAACAACAGCAACACCAGCAGCAGCAAACGAACGTGTCGCAGGTACAGCAGACCGGTAACTCGGGATTAGGACAGACCGCCAGTCCGCAACAACAGATGCAACAACAACAGCACGCGATGTCGATGAGCCAACAAACGGCTCAAGGAGCGCAGCATCAGTCGTCTCCGGCGCCGACCACGCCGTCGCCGCAGGCGGATCACCAGGGTGCGATCGCGTCCAGCATGGCCCAAAGCCTGCACAGTCTGGCGCAAGCACAGCAGACGATGTCGCAGGCCCCGAGTCCGTCGCTGGCTGTTCAGGCGGTCCAGGCGGCACAGGCGGCCCAGGCGCTCAACCAGAACTTGGGACAGGCGTTGACACAGGCCCTCACGCAGAACATGCAACAGAACCTCGGGCAAACTTTGCAACACAATCTCGCGCAAAGTCTCACGCCGAGTTTGTCGCCGCAACAACAACAACAGCTGCTCAATCAGCCGCAAAATCTTAGCCAAGCTAGTCAGAACCTGCAGCAGAACATTCAGAGTCAGGCGCAAAACTTGTCGCAAACGCTGCAACAACAGGCGCAAAATTTGACCCAGAACCTCGGTCAGAGTCTTAGCCAGCAGGCGCTGCAACAACAGGCGGCACAAAACCTCACGCAAAATTTGCAGCAGCAGGCTCAGAATCTGACGCAGAACCTGCAACAACAGGCGCTCAACATGACCGGTGGCATCGCTCAGAACGGTGCCCTCGCCGGGATGAACATGTCGACCAACCAGCAACAAAACTCTCAGAACTCGATGCTGAGTCCGGGCGCTACCAGTCAGGACTCCCACGACACCAGCCTGACGGAGAAACTCGTCAACGAGCTGCAGGTGAGCTTTACCGTTTCTTCGCGTTAACCAGCTTTTCCTTTCTTTCCGTCGCTGCTGTTATTATTATTTTCATTTTTTTTTCTTTTCATCTCGGTTACGCTTCTCTTCTCCGTAGCGACGGAGAGAACAGATAAATAACTGGGACGAGGCGACCGCGATAAAAGTGCATAATGCGTCGATAAATAGGGTCATTCGCTTAGGCCGACCGACGCCGGACAATACTTTGAAACGCGTTCCGCGAACGGAGAAAAATGCTGGCCGCGTTATCGCGTTTCCCGAACCGTTGTCTTCCACGTGTTGTTCCGGCTGGAATTATCGCCTCGCGTCTCGCGAACTCTAGATATCCGGATAGATAGGGGGGAAAAAAAGAGCAAAAAGCATAGCGAAAGCATCGAGACGACAGCGAGGATGATCGCGTCGCGTCGCGTCAGGGACGAAAGAAAAAGCTGGCAAAACGTCCGTATCGGCTTAACCGGATGACATTCTATAAATCGCGTTACATCGTCGACGATTTCGCTGACTGTTCGAATGTACGACTGTGCCGAGATACACTGACCATGGTTCACGCACATCGGAATACGTTGACTTACCACATCGCGTACTCGGACTCGGCGCGTACCCGCTCGCGTACACGTAAATATACACGTACACGCGCGTGCGACGGAACGAGCGAGAGAGAGGAAGAGCGAGGGCGAGCGAGGGCGAGAGAGGGAGAGGGAGAGCGAGAGAGAGTGAATGTGCACGCGCGCAACCAGCCAGCCAGCCAGCCACGCACGCACACGTTCGAGTCACGGGGCCACAAATGCAAACGCGGCCCACGCACACCGATGCGACCAGATGCAGATACGTCGCCTCTCGGGGTTCTTGACCCGCGCAACACAGATAATACTATACGCATACGTCATACGGTACGCCGAGAAGATGTTCTCGAGAAAATATCGCGGCGTGCTTCTGCGATGCCACAGTCCGCGAGCTTCGATACGAGGAAACTAAGTAAATATATCCCCGCGGATCCGCTTCGTTCTCGCACGCTAATAGGAACCCGAACTCTTCGTATCTCTTATTTTTCCTTTCTTACTCTTTTCGTTTTGTTTCGCGAGATTTTCCGCGAGCGCAAGCCGATTCGACGAAAGCGACGAAAACTTAACGATACTAAAGAAAGAGAGGAGGCTTTCGAGGAATCACGGCGTGCACGAACGGAAAATTCGTCGAAATTTTCTGAGACAGATCGATTGCACGAACGATCCGTTTCCGAGCGGTCAGGAAAGAAAGCGATTTTGTAGTATTGCCGGTTAGAAGAAAGACCAAAGGAAAGTAAACTAACAAGAGCCTCCTGTGTCTTGCCCGATAGTCTCGTGCCTCTGCGGCGGGACTTGGAGGTGCAGGAGGCGCCGGCGGAGGCGGAGGAATGGGCAACATCAGCGAACGCACCCTCGAGGAATGCTGGTCCACCCTGCAACGAGTGAGTTGAACACTCAACCCGTTCAAGATCCCCTTATTATTTCTCTTCCTCGTCATACACGGCTTCCTGTTACTTATCACTTTTTTTCCGCCATTTCGTTCAGGCTCCATGTCGACATTTTTTTTCTCACACGTACCTCCCGCACGTTTTATGTAGCGATCTTTGGTTACCTCATTTTCGTTTCGATTCAATTTCCTCCCGGAGAGCGCGGGATGTTATCGCATCGTTTTCCCCTCATTTTTACGTTGTGGTTCCTTTTTTCTGTCACGGCTGGCATGCTCTACGTGCGTGTATGCGCTTGTTTATCGTTTCTTTTCTAACGTTTTTCCCGTTTACTTTAACGTCACGAGGTAATGACGACTCGGATCGTGCACCTCGAACGTGCACCTCGAACGAGTCGATCTCGTCTCGATCGTCGACGCGTCTGACCGCCGTAGCGGTTCGAGAACGATCCTGCGACCGGACTGAACGATCAGCGGAAAATTTTCGTAACGGAGACGCCGCGTCTCGAGAAACGGTACCTTGTCGCCGGCTCGCGGGACAATACCGCGTTTAATTGTTCCATACGCGTATTCCACGCACGACGTAACCGATTTAATGGGACAGTCCGTCACGATCGAGGGTACCGGTCTTCGCGTATATGGCGCTGTCCTTTCGCGAGGCAGCTCCGAAATGAAGGGAAAGGAAGCACCGCTAACGAGCCGTGAATCCAGTTGGACTATCGTTCTCGAAAGAACGAAACGTTCGACGAAACCGTAAACGAACAAAGAGAGACAGAGAGAAGGGTAGGGGGAGAAAAGAGGAGAGCAGGTAGAACCAGGGAGCAAAGAGAGGAAAGGCTCGCGAAAACTTTTAAATTCTCGTCCCGAGTACGAAACAACAATTTGTTTCGCTAAGTAGCCGCAGCTTTCTTTTGTTTTTGCCACTTCTTTTATTCTCGCCAACTACTCTGCGAGGGTTGCGAAGAAACGGGCCGGGCGGAGGGGGCGGTGGTAAATGGAAAGGTGGAAAATAGGTGGTCGGAAGCTGTTCCACCTCCCCCTCGTCCATCGCCACCTTGAAAGCGAGTCACCGCGAAAGACGAGGCGAAACTTTCGGAAAATCGCAAAAACGCCGCGCGATGGCAAAGTTTTCGCGTTTTGCCGGGATTTAATTAAAACGTTCGCCTCCTTTGTGGAGCTGCTCTGCCCGCGAATCTCCGAAAGAGTTCCGTTAATCCTTACTAGCGATAAAATATTAGCTCTCGAATCGCGGCAAAGTATCGACTACGGACGATTCGAATAGTAAACGTTACCGTGGGAAAACAAAGGGCAGAAAAGGAAATGAAAAGTCGAAAACATTAATGCCGTGCAACGTTGTATAAACACTCGTCGGCCGAGTGATTCTCATGGTTGTCGATCAGGGAGGAGAGAGCGCTTTTGTTCTTTCACCGGCTCGAAAATTAAAATCCAATTATTTCGACACCTCTGCTCGACGACCCTCCGGGCGATTCAAATGAATTTTTTGCGCCAACTCTTTCCCTCTAAATCTCTCGTTCAACCCCGGCTTTAAACCGGTTCGACGTCGCTGCACAGCCACCGTGGGCTTACCCTTGACCGATTCTCTCGATTTTGAATCGACGACAGCTGCGAGAACCGGAACTGCCACGGAGAAAAGAACAAGACGAGGGGAGAAAGTCGTAGAACGCAAAATTTTGTAAGAATTACGATAACTTCGATGGATCGCAGCGAGATTGATCGCGAAAGCTTGAGAGAGATTCTGTGAAAGAATGGGAATGAAGAAAAGATTCGAACGGATACGTTTCTCACGTTCGGTCCCCTTGAGCGCAAGTTTTTTGCCTTCGACCCCGAGGTTCCATCGTATTATTTAAGTAACGGTGTTCGCGCACGTGCCATTGTTTCACTAACCCTTCTATACTATTACGAATAAGGGCGGAGAGGAGAAAGGGAGCTTTCTCCGTTTCGAGTCGAAGAAGAAAACGCGAAGGATGAAAGACGGAAGAAGGCCGGGCGAGAGAGAGGGGAACGGAACTTCCGTGCCTCGTAGCCGTTATGGCGAAGGCAAAATTACGACATCTCAAGTCCAGGGGCAACCATGCCCCGTCCAGAACGCGGTACAAACTTTCTTGGCTTTTCAGTAATTTTCTATGATTTTCAGATCGCATGATCGCTAACAATAACGCCGGCCCCGTGCCGGCTGTTAAGATCCTTGTAATCGAATTGTTCGATCTTCGGCGAAACCGTGAGCGAATCCGTTCGAGACTAATATAGAAAGAGAAGCGATATTCCAGGAAGATGTTCACCGCGAGTTCGGCCGTCGTCTTTACTTCGAAATTATCGGGACAATTCGGTGCTACGACTCGGTCGACGAAAGCACGAAGGTATACGCGTTACAAAGTCGTGTGTCGGCGAAACGTACAGCTACTCGCGGCATGGCGTACGGTTCTTTCTTCCTTTTCTTTTTTCGCCTTCGTGGTCGTTCGCTCGCGCGGTTCCGCCATGGCCTACCCCAAGCGGTCGACGAGAAAAAGAAGGAGAAAAAGAAGGAGAGCGAGTGAAAGAGCGTGAGCTGCGGAAAGCGCGGGACGGAGAACGCGCCCACACACGATCGCCGAGAGTTGCAACGTGGATGAACGCGAGAGACGAACTGCACGCGCGAGCAAGATGGAACGCCGCGGCGTGACGGAGAGAGGAAAAAGGGAGGGCGAGAGCTGCACGGAACATAGTTTATTCTTTGTGTCGCGCGTATGGCTACGCGCTTTTTTTTTATCGTTCGTTGACTCCGCGCCGTTTTGCACTCGCGTTCGTCACATCGCTCTTTCCACGATAAGATTACGTACAGGGGCGGTGGTCATGCACCGCGTTCGTGCGTTCCGAAACATCCGTAACGCTTTTCCCTCGGGAGATCTTCGACACGTCGCGATTACCGATTCGACCTTGATCCGATAGATTCGTATCGTGGAATCGCGAGACGACGCGACGCGTCAACCGTAACACCTAATCGTGTATTCGTCAACTCTCTTCGCTCGTGTACCGTTTTCGTTAACTCCTGCGCGGCCATCCCGTTAACCGCGTTAATTGTCAGCTCCCCGCGAGACGATCGGAAGAAATTCGGAATAATCGCGGAAAAGGCGAACGGAGGAGAAACTCGTAGGTTCGTGCAGAGTCGAGAAATCTCAGCGGCCGGTCACGAGAGAGACCGCGCGCGTATCCCAGAACCTTTCCTCTCCTCTGGTTGGAGCTGCCGCGGCAAAAGATCGTTGCCCTTCTAAATATAAGTTTGCAAAATCGAACAGCAAAACTGTGGAGTTTTGCCGTGGTCTGTGCGGCTCTGTGTGTATATTGCCGGTAGATCAGCTCCCTTCTTCTTCTCCTTCTTCTTCCCTTCTTCTTCTTCTTCTTCTTCGTCGTCTTTTTTTCCTTCTTCGCTGACTACACGCCGCTCTCGCGCTCCTCTTTCTAGCGCGTCGCTTGGTCCTCCTCCGCCAGAGCGTATCCTCCGTCGACTCTCTCTCCTACTCCCTCGAGTCTTCGCCCATATCCACCACCTTCTTCGGACCCCCTCTTCGGCTCCCTCCGACGCCGATCCCCACTGCAACTTCGTGACCTCGAAGGCCTGCGAATCCGCTCTTTCGTTCGCGTTGACTTTCGGACAAAATTCGCCCGCTCCCCTGCCGAACGTAGTCGTAGGTCAGGATCCGGCCGGACCACGACTGCTGCTCGCCGACTCGCCGCGCCGACCAGGAACCGGAAGATCATCCGGAGATCCCTTCTCTCGGAACGACCTAAGCTTTCGATCCGTTTAACTTCATCTTTTCCGTTTCTAACTCGATCGGGTAATCGTCGAGGTAATCGATTCGAGGATTTAGTCAAGGTGACGGAGTAATTCGCGAGAGTTGGCGACGCTCGAAACAACGGAGATAAAAAAATCCGACCGCGTGGAAAAAATAACCGGGGAGGAATCTGGGTCAGCGGAGCCGTGCAATCGCGACGCGCCAATGTCAGTCGCGTAGATCGGAAGGCCAAAAGAAAATCGTCAACAGCGACGAGCGTTCGACGCGAATCGATCGCCGGAAGAAAGATCGGTGAAGAATTCCGGAGCTCGTTTTCTCGAGGAACGCGTTCGTCGCGCGAATCGGATGAAAGAGCAACGAGCGCTTGTACAGTACGCGCGTTGTAGCGGCGAGCGGTCGGCGTCATCGTCATCGTCATCTCGTGCATGCGTGGGTGAATAGCCTGGCCAGTCTCGAGCAACACGGGCGAGACGGAAAGACGAGAGCGTTTCGTGGAGGGACACGGAGAGAGAGGGGAGGTGGTACAAGCACCGAGAGAGAGAGACAGAGAGAGAAAGAGAAAGCGAGCAAGTCGGGAGGATCGAGAAGTACTCTGAAAAGAAAGACGGCTAGCATCGCGAAGCAAAGTAGGGGCACGGCGAGAAAGAGACGCTCGCTACCACCGTGCGCAACGGCTCCGAATTCGTTTGTTCTTTCCGTCCTGAGATTTCGAAGCTTTTCCCCGAGTCGCAAGAACTTCGCTCGTTCTATTAGGCTCGTTCGATTAGGTCGGGACGCGTCGAGGTCTACCGAACGAGACAGATTCCGTTTAAGATTCGATCGGGGTTGTTTCGTGAAAGGGGTATAGATCTCGCGGTCCGTTTCGACGTAGGTAAAACGTAGGCGAATCGCGTTAGCGGGATAGCAAAGGCGCACGACCCCACTCCGAAGTCTCGTGGATCCGCTCTGGTAGCTTCTCGAGGCGAGTATTCTACCTTCGGACCTTCGCGCCAGTGTCCCCCACCGGTCGGTATC